AAGGGTCCAGACCCGAAACGTCAGCTTTCCTGCTCCTCTGATGCTGCCTGGCCTGCTGTGCTCCTCCAGCTCCACACCTAGTTATCAAGGTAGAAATTGGTAGGTTTCTCAAGACTCATTAAGGGATATGGGAATAGCACACATCAGCCACGATCCTATTCATGGTGGAGCAGGCTTGACAGGCCGAATGGACCACTTCTGATTCATATATTTATACATATGTTTGTAAGGGCATTGAGCTAGCATTGTAGTATTAGTGCATCAGTAGTCCAGGCCTCTAGACTAATGCTCCAGAGACATGAGTTCAAACCCAATCGTGGCAGCTGGAGAAGATTAAATTACTTAGTAATTGAAATAAAAGCTCATCTCATTGATAATGATAATGAAATTGCCAGATTGTTGTAAAAACCTATCTGGGTAAAAATTCTGGAATTCCCTCCCTAAGGGCATGTGGCAAACTTTAACAAATGGACTGCAGCATTTCAGGAAGGCAGCTCACCACCACCTTCTCGTGCAACTAAGCACAGGCAATAAAAATGCTGACCGGCCAGCAATGCCCACATAAACAAGTGAATAAAAACCAAAATCTGGTTCAACAATGTAAGTTAGAGAAGGAGCCTACATGTGATTCTAACTGCTTCCTTAAGCGTTTTAGAAAGCACTTCATTCTGACTACATTTAGGGATAGTCAATAAATGCTGACCTTGCCATCACACTCACATTCTAAGAATAAATTTATAAAAATTTACCGCTGGTGCTCCTGGATGTGGTCCTGCCAGGGTTGTACAGACATTGAGAACAAAGAATGTATAGGAACAGTCACTTAGTCATTTGCAGACGTTGAACATTGCTGTGCAGAGAGACATTTGCTGAAGCTTTTCAGTTTTCTCCTCCGCAAACAAAAGGAATACGTTCAGGTCTCATGCTGCTTAGGCTTGGGGAGTCTTTGGTTTCAGTTGCTTTCTTCATGGAAATACCTTGGCCAATACTTCTGCTGAAGTATAAATTGTAATGCTTGTCTTGATGTGTGCAAGACAAAAGCTTCGACAACGTTTTTCCAGGCAAAATTTAAAGGTAGATAAATGCGGTATGTTAAACGTTAATGGAATTGCACTATTAAACTTATATTTAGCATAAAAATAAAACAGATTTCATTAAGGAGTATTTTTCCCACCTTACCTACCTTGTTTTAATACTTTAACTTCAATTTAACTCTCTTCCAATGTAGTCTGTTCCTTTTGGTCCAACCTAATTCTCTGCTACGTTTCTGAATTCAAATCTCCCTTTTCCTCACCACTGTTTTAGAATTGGCAACAACCTTACTTGCAGTTGCTTCAAAGGATAGTTCTTCAGTCTATCAAGTGGACACAGCCTGGAGATTGAATAGGACACAACACTGATTTTTAGATAGCATTAAAATCAAATAGTCCTCAAAAGAATGTCTGCAGTAATTTGTTTGTAGTATTCAAAGGGTTAATAACAATTGGTAGCACTGCAACCAATTGGAAAAATTGCCTATCCATATCTTAACTTCACTTAGCTATCTTGGCTCTGTAACCATTAATATTGCCTAACACAATGTCATCTTCGGTCATTTTTATAGAATCCCTACAGTGTGGAAACCGTCATTCGGCCCATCAAGTTCACACTAACCCACCAAACAGCGACCCCCCCCCCCCCCTCCTCCTATCCTATCACCCTGCATTTCCCATGGCTAACCCACCTAGCTTGCATATCCCTGGACACTACAGGCAATTTAGCATGGCCAATCCACCTAATCTGCATGTCTTTGGACTGTGGGAGGAAATTGGAGCATCGAAGGAAACCCACGCAGACACTGGGGAGAATGTGCAAACTTCACACAGTCACCGAAGAACGGAATCAAGCCCGTGTCCCTGGTGCTGTGATGCTCAGTGGTTAGCACAGGCTGCATTGCTAACCACTGAGCCACCATGCTGCCTCTGGGTTTTAAACAGGCCAATATAGTTCTTTATCCCAGTATATTCTTTCCAATTAGGCACTGAAAGGAAATCTGTCTCATTTAGATACACATAATTTAGAATAACTGTGAGAATGGTTTACTGCTTATTTTGAGTGTATTTTATAATCTACCTCTAATTCTCCTTTAAAATTTAGTTTATCCTCAACAGCTTTTTGGGGACAGAATTCCAGATTTGTACCAGCAGTTGAGAAACAACATCACCCCTGAACTGCTTAGCTCTCATTTTAAGGTTATGGCCCGAGCAACTTGTTCTTTACTATTTATCTAATTGGATCCTGTAATCGCTCTGAACACGTCAATTAGATCACTCGTTAATACTTTGATAGAGGAAATGTTAGTCTATTCTTTATAACCGGTCTTTGTAGTTTAACCTGTTTGACTAGTTTTGTTTTATTCTTGTTTTCACCAGAATTTACTCATTTCTTCTTCCTCACCCTGCAGGGTCTTAGGTTTGAAGTGGTGCCTTCCTGGTTTAATGAGACACTTGACAAATCTTCTTTTGAAATGCCATACAATTACGCAATTGAGACCGCAAAAGAGAAAGCCCTGGAGGTGGCAAAGAGGATGCATTTGGTATGCAATAAAAACTTGATTAAAATTATGAACGAAAAGATCTCCAGTTGCTTGTTTCTACATGCTAACGTAATTGTTTTGATTTACCATGAGGCTCTAATATTATTCCTGTAGGAAATTAGCTTTTGAGTGCTTTAAAATATATTGTTTACCTGCGTCTGCTAAATAGGTGGAGGGATAAATTTAAAGCCAAAGTGTTATGGTGAGCATTCATAAAACACTGGTTTCAAACTCAACCTTTGTGTTGTGTGTTATGTAAATGTACATGTTGCTGTGCAATGAATTGAAAATTCTGGTTAGAAATCTAATTTTGAGCAGTAAGGAAGAGACAAAAGAGAGCTCATTACAACCAACTGTAATGGCTTTCTGACTAAGAAGTCGACAGTATAAATTCTTAGCTTTATTCAAGCCTTTTGTTACCATTAAGTAAAACAAACTGCAATGAAAATTTATATTATTTCTTTTTGTTAAAACATGTGTACAGCAAGCTTTGTTTCAATTGCCCATAAGTCTGCAGATATTACATTCTTCAAACACTGCATTTTACTGTATTATTCTGTCCAATTAATTTTGGAGTTTTTAAAATGTATTTATCTCAATGTAAATATACTTGTTCAATGAAATCGCTATACGAGATATCAACTGTTGAGTCAATTTCTCATCAAATACTGCAATTTACTGCAATGTCCAAGAGTCAGTTCAGGAAGCGAGTGAGAAGGCAAATTTCATTACTATTTAAGTGATTTAAGCTGTAAATAATGGCTAAAAGTGAAGTGTATATCCCCTGCATTACATTTCTGTTACTTAATGTGTGTTTTTACATTGATTATGTGGATCTCTTGATTATCCAAAATATTTGATCAACTGGCACACTGCTGGTCCCTGAGGTGTCCATTAATAAAAAGTTTCCTGTACTTACAAAATATAGTTTAATCTAGAGTCTGAATCGCCATATCGGAAAAATGACACTATGACAATTTGAGTTTTTCTTCTCTGACAGAAACACTTCAAGACTCCAGATATCGTCATTGGAGCAGACACTATTGTGGTAAGAAAAAAATAGAATATGGAACTTGGCGAAAAACTCTTGATTTTTCCATTTGATTTCACACATTCAATTTTAAAGTTATTACACATCTGCCTAAGAATTATGTATATATAAAAAAATTCACCATTCTCCTCTCTTGGCTTCAAGGAATTGTTACTTAAATGAGAAATGCTGCAGAAAATTAAAGTTAAAATATAATGATGTAAGAACTCACAAGATTCACATTCCTTCAGTGTTGCTTATGCCCTTTAGGAAATCAAATCCACTGCCCTGATCCTAGTCTGCACTGTGTGGGACTCCAGCTTCACAGCAGTCTGATTGACTGAACTGTCCCCTGACAAGCTGCACATTTCAAGGGTGGTTTGGGATGGGATTCACCTTCTGGCTCTGTCAGCCATGCCGACATCCCATGAAAGAATAAAGGAAAATAAAATTCAACCAGCTACTCTGTAAGGGGAGAAGTTAAAACTCTGAAACTTAAAACCTCTCATTGCTGCAAGTGCAGCAGTAAGCTGTCCTTAGAAGATACTCGCTTTCAGATTTTTTTTCTGATTAGTTGTATGTTCGTACAAAAAGAGCATTCATATAGTCAAAAATATTGTTCCCTTTTGCAAGGGTGTTCTTCATTGTCCTGATAAGTGTAAGATGAAAAGGTTTAACAAAAATGTCTTTTATCCAGCAGCATTTGTATTCTGTATTACCAAACAACTCTTAAAAGTACAAACTACTGGTCTTTTCGAAGTCTGTTTAAAAATGTGACAGTTTTAATGAAAATGAACCAGTTCAGAGGCAAAATACAAATGTGACAGCCAATTGCTATCACAACGAAAGGTTAATATTGTCAAGTGAGTATCAGCAAGCATAGCAAATTATAATCTTGTTATTGTTCATCTTAATAATTTTTGGCAAAGTGTTGTGTAAAGAATTAGCCAAAAATTCCCTAAGTTGGAAATTGGACATAAAAAGTAAAAGTGCTGAAAATATACAGCAGAATTTGTAAAGAGAAATGTATCCTGCTTTGACCTTTTAGAAATAAAGAAACATAGAACACAGGAGCAGGATTGACCATTTGGCCATTTGAGGCCACTGAACGTGATCATCTAACTCAGTACCATGTTCCTACTTTGTCCCCATACCTTCAGTTTTAGTTCTAAAAACTATATCTAACTCCTTCTTGAAAACATTGTGTTTTGGCCACAAATGCTTTCTGTGGAAGAGAATTCCACAGGCTCAACACACTCTGAGTGAAGAAATTTCTCCTTATCTCAGTCCGAAGTGGCCTCTCCTGTATCCTTAAACTGTGGCCCCTAATTCTAGATTGCCTGTTCACCGGAAAAACCCTTTTTTATTTCCCCTGTCTAGCTCTTTTAAAATGTTACAGGTTTCTGTGTGATTTCCCATCATTCTTCTACATTAAGTGATTTTAATCCTATCTGATCCTTTCTCTTCACGTGTCTGTCCTGCTAACCCTGGAATCAGTTTGGCATACCTTCTCACCTCAGATAAGAAGACCAAAGTTGCACACAGCACTCCAGATGTGGTTTTACCAAGGTCCTCTACAGCTGCAGGCAGACACTTCTGCTCCTGTATTCGACGCTTCTTTCTATGAAGGCAGTCATACTGTTTGCTTTCTTCACTGCCTGTTGCACCTGTATGCTTAGTTTCAACAACTGGTGCATGAGGATACCCAGCTCTTGAGTGCAACTCCCCCCACCTTCTCAATTCAGATAATAACCTGCCTTCCTGCTTTCGCTATGAAAGTATATAACCTCACATTTATCCGCATTATACTTCATCTGCCAATGCATTTGCCCACTCACTCAACTTGTCCAAATTACACTGAAGCACAGTTCACAGTCCCATCCAACTTTGTGTCATCTGCACATTTAGTTTCCTCATCTAAATCATTAATGTATATTGTGAATAGCTGGGGTTCAAGCATTGACCCCTGTGGTACCCCCTAGAAACTGCCCACTATTGGAAAGTGACCGGTTTATTCCTCCTCTTTGTTTCCTGTCTACCAACCAGTTCTCTATCCATGTCAGTGCAGCTACCCCTAATACCATGTGCTTTAATTTTACACGCCAGTCTTATTTGGGATCTTATCAAAAACTATCTGAAAGTCCACGTAAACTGCATCCACTGGCTCCCCCTTATCAACTTTACATGTTACATTCTCCAAATTCCAGTAGATTTGTTAAACATGATTTCCATTTCATAAACCCATGCTTACTCTAACCCTGTTATGATTTTTGAAGTGCTCTGCTCTGAAATCTTTTAAAATGGACTCTGGCATTTTCTCCACTATCAATATCAAGCTAACTGGTTTATAATTCCATTTTCAACCTACCTCCTTTTCAGATAGTGGGATTACATTAGCTGCTGTCTAAAACATAGGAATTATTCCAGACTTGACTGAATCTGGTAAAATGATCACGAATGCATTCAATATTTTTAGGGCCACTTTCGTTAATACTTTGAGATGTAGATTGTCAGGTTCTGAGGATTTCCCCAATACCATTTCCTGACTATTGTTGATTTATCTCAGTTCCACCCTCTTACTACACCCTGTCTTCCCCAACATTTTTGGAATGTTGTTTGTGTCCTTAATGAAGGCAGAACCAAAATATGTATTTATTTGGTTTGCCTTCTTTTTGTTCCCCAATATAACGTAACCTATTTCTGGCTGTAAGGGAACTACGTTTATGCTGATCTTTTTATAGAAATAAATGACAAGCAGAATGTTATTTTCAGGAAATAGACAAATATTGAAGAAGACGCAAATGTGAGGTTACTTGTGGAGTGCGGGCCAGAGCTGTTAATTTTGGATTATCCATTTATATTATAATTCTCTATTGCCCTGCGTGTTTTTGTTGGTGGTAGATGTACTTTCTAACTTGCGTGCTTTTGCCTCAGAAATAATTATCATTTTGACTTCAGATTTTGTCACAATTGTATACATGTAATTGTTATCTTTAAATTATTCAAGGGCTTTTAAATGTATCAGCGTCATTGAAATCCTTATTTTCTATCCTGAAAAAATATTTTCTCTTAAGTTTCTAAATCACGACTTTTGGTTTTGAATCATCATTTAGAAACTAGGAGCTTAATTGTTCAGAATGTGAATTATTTAATGTTAGAACCCTATAATGGCAAAATAGCAGGCAATTTTGCCATGTAAGGAGCTAGATTCAATTATGAAATTTTCCTATTTTAGCCCCTTCCAAGAGTAAGCTGTATTATAGACACATGTCATACAGATTAGGCTTGTGTTCCCTAGGCTGTAGAACTGTCCCATTGAGATGTTCTAGGATGATCAAAGGAGTTGTTAGGTATGATATAGAGAAACTGTTCCTTTTAGTGGGAGAGTCCAGAACAAGGGGACATTACCTTCAGAGCTGGGCTGTTCAAGGACATTACTATTTGCATAAAAGTTAATGACAATCTGACATTGTTTCTCACACATTACACCCCACCTCTCCGTAACCTCACCCAAGAAAATTTTTTGATGCTAGGACAGTGGAATATTTGAAAACTGAGATTGGGATATTTTTGATAGTCAAGTGTTTGAAGGACCATTGGGACCAAGGCGAAGAGAAGATTAACTTTTGGATCAGCCATGATGTAATTGGTGGTTTCATACTTAAGTGATTGAACAATCTTCTCTTCTTTCATTGTGCTTTAAGTTTTACATGTGATAACATGCCTAATGGAAATTCTTTTGAGTATCAGCAAGCTGCTTAATCCCACACCTCCACTAGTCCTTGACTACTGGAAACGTATGTAACCATATCAACAAACAGCATTTTGGCTGATTCCCCTCCTACCACATTGCCCCTGCCTCCCAAGCCACATTCTAAACTAAAATTTTACAGCATGTAGTTATGATATAAACAGTTCTTTTAAAGCTATGAAATATTGAGTGTTATTGAGATTACTTATCACTTTATCAGACATCTTATAATTGTTTTCCACTTTTCAGTCCATTGACGGTGACATTCTCGAGAAGCCTGTAGATAAACAAGCTGCTCACACAATGCTATTGAGGTTTGTTATTCCTCTTCATCCGTATCTGGCTGATTAACCCATTTATGTAACACTTGCACCAAAGGTGCTTCATGGATTCTGAGACAGGAATTGACAGAAACATAAAGCAGGTGAAAATTGGGGAAGGGTTTGCTGAAAGACATAGTGGTAAGGTGGAAGTGAGGATCAGAGGGACAGGAAGGGAAGAGGTGAGGTGCAGGGTATTGGGCAGAGGATGTCAGGCTTAAGGCTGGATACTGAAAAAGTCAGAACTACAGAGGAAGGAGGAAGGGGCAAGTCTATGAAAAGATTTAAATGGATGAGGATTCTAACATGGGAATAGGGAGCCAAAGTAGATCAACAAGGATAATAGGAACTTAATGCTGTATAGGATCCAGATAGCACAGTTTCAGATAAGCTGTCCTTTACAGAGATTGGAGCAGAGAATATTGGAATAATTGTGAAATGTGTTGACAAAATAAAATCTGAATGAAATTTTCAAGAGAGGATGGACTGAATTTGCATGGGGTATGCTAATTCACCTGGGAAGAGAATTAGGCTGGAGAGATATGTGATTCAGACCAGATTCAAATTGAACATGAGAAATAGGTGCTTTTTACCTGCTCCATGACTCAACAAGCTGTCGGATCTCCTGCCTAAAATCCCCCTTCCACAGTGTATCCCTCCATTGCCTCGATACACATAAATGTTGATTTTTGCCTTGAATAAACTCAACAACTAAATTCTGAAGATTTACAATTCGTTGGGTGACGTGATTTCTCCTCACCCGAGTCCTAAGCAGCTTTAGCACATAGGAGAATACAGCACACAGGAGCAAGCCCTTTGGCCCACCACGTCTGTGCCGACCATAATGCCATTCTAAACTAATCTGTCTGCACATAGTCCATGTCCCTCTGTTCCCTGTGTGTCTATGTCTGTCCAAATGCCTCTTACACTTTTCTAATGTATCTGCTTCTACCACTTCCTCTGGCAGTGCGTTCCAGCCATTCTCTGTGTAAAAAAACTTGCCTCGCACATCTCCTTTAAACTTTTCATTTTCTCACCTTAAACCTATGCCCCCGAGTCATTAACATTTCCACCATAGGAAAGAGACTCAGACTGTCCAATCTATCCATGCCTCTCATAATTTTATAAACTTTTCTCAGGTCAGCCTTCAGCCTGCACTGTATCTTTGATCATGTGTTCCTCATTCCCCAATCAGACAAAATGTTCTCTCAGTACCCTATCCTGTCGAACACCTGAAGAATTCTAAGTTTGAAATGGATAACATCTTATTTCTTTAAACTACAGAGAACGTAGGTTAAATCTACTCAATCTCTTCTCATCATAAAATACGTTCATTCCAAGAAATAATTTAGAGAACTTTTGTTGCAACCACTTTAGGATATGTATGGTTTTCCCTTAGCTACGGACACCAATGTGAAACATACCATGCCAGGAATGGCCTCACAAGGGTCTTCATAATTGTAGTAAGATTTCTTCCCTCTTCTACTCAGTCCCTTTCCAATAAAGTAATCGTTTACCTTTCTGCTTCCTAGCAGTTCCTACACATTGCTTTTAACATACGAGTTAACAGGTCCTTTTGAATTTAATTTTTTTCCTAGTCGCTTGTTATTCAAAATTTATTCTGTTTTTAAATTTTCTACCAAGATGGATTGTTCCAAGTATAAAACATTGTATTCCATTTGCCATGTTCTTGCCCGTTCTCCCAACTTGTGTTTACATCTCTGTGGCCTCTTTGTATCCACCTTACCCCTTGCTCTTCCAACAGGCTTATCATCAGCAAACTTGGATATGTTACACACAGACTGCTTAACTGCATTGGAGGCAGTTTAAAGAAGGTTCTCTGGATTAATTACAGAGATTATAGATTTGTCATAAGAGAAAGAATTGAGCAGTTTAGGTCTATGCTTGTTAGTTCAGGAGAATAAGGGGAGATCTAATTAAAGTATATAAGATGCTAAAGGGGACTGACAAAATAGATGTAGGGTAAATGTTTCTCCCTGAGGGGGCAATCTAGAATAAGAGGTCATAGTTTTAGGCTGAAAGGGTGCCAGATTTAAAGTAGATGAGGAGGCTTCTCTCAAAGGGTCTTGTATCCGTGGAATTCACTAACCCAGAGTGTACAGAGACACTGAATAAATGTAAGGAGGAGATATGCAGATTTTAATTTGTAATAATTTAAAGGGTTATGCGGAGCAAGCAAGAAAGTGGAGTTGAGACCGAGATGGGATCAGTCATGTTCGTAGTAAATGGCAGATCGGACTCGGTTGCTTACTCCGATTCTTCCTCGTTCTTATGTTCTTCTGTTAAGTCAATAATATTGATTATAAGTTGCTGAGGCTCAGGTATTGATATTTGCAGTACCCTACTAGTTATAACCGACCAATCTGAAAATTTATTTCTATCACCTTTACTACTCTATTACCCCAAACCCATCTCTCATATCTTGTGTACTAACCTCTTCTGTGGCACATTATCAAATATATTTTGCAAATCTAAATGAACTACTTTCACTGGTTTCGCTTTGTACATTATACCAAATAATCCTCAAAAGAACTAAAAAAATTTGTGAAAAGCTGTTTCTAATTCATGAATCCACATTGCTCTGCTTAATCATGGAATGATAGCTCGGCTTCCTTCCGTGCCATAACCATTCAGCCTGCTGTATCTGTGTCATCCTTTGAAAGATTCGTCCTTTAGAAGTAAAACCAGTCTAACTCCAAACTAAAACACAAACAGATTTTAAACAAGGTCTCACACCTAACATGCATTGTCTGACCTAAAATATCACCCCTTCTTTACATTGATAAAAATTTTAGTTCTCTCAGGGCAGTGACTTGAAAGGGATTTGGAGATTTACATATACATATTAATCAGTTAAAGCCTTCTAACTGATTAAAGATTTAATAGCATCTTAGGTTTGTTTAGTATATCCTCATCAATGGTGTGACCCTTTGATCTTTTACTGATACATTCTGTGTCGGATACTACCTCCCTCACTAACACCTGAAGAAGGACTGAGGCTCCAAAAGCTTGTGCTTTCAAATAAACCTGTTGGACTATAACCTGGTATTGTGTGATTTCTGATCTTATCTTCTGAAGGAGCAAGTCACCAAGTGCCAGTCCTCTGCCTTTTCTCGGTAGACTGACCCCGGAATGCAGGTGAGGAATAGGTAGCGACCATATAATAGGACTGGGAGAGACTCAGATGACCATGATGCCAAAGTGGCAAGAAAAGGCAGTGTTAACTATGATGTGGTTACAAGTGGGAATGACAAGAGGAGCCAAGCCTGGGAAGTCCTCGTGAGCTGAACAATAGATAAGAAGCACTGGAGGATGATGGCATCATTGACTGTTGAAGACTGCAGAGGGGTTGAGGAGAGAAAAGAAAGCAAGGTAACTTTTAGGAAATATTCAGCAAGTCCAGCAGCATCCCTGATGAGGGAAACAAAGTTAAGTTGACTCTGTCACCTTTCATCAACAGTAATGAAAACATCAGTGACTTGAAATGTTTGTATTGTTTCTTTCCCTACAGATGTTCTCAGCTGCTGAGCATTTCCAGCATTTTCTGTTCTTGTTCAGATATCCAGCGTCTGAACCTTTTGTTTTTGTAATAACATGTAAACATTTTTTAATTTCTGGGATTTGCAAATTTATGTTTTTTATACGAGTTGTGGTAATTTTGTGTTTTTCCCTTTGCTGTTGTTTAGACTGAGCAATAAAGAACATAGTGTCTTCACTGGGGTTGCCATTGTCTTTTGCAGCTGCAAACTTGGTAATGTATTTGAATGTTCACATTTTCCCTGCTTATTTGGTTATTTTAAACTGACATGCATTTCCAAACAAAAAATACTATGAATTGAATTTTGATTTATATCTTTAATTACTACTTATTTAAATAATTTACTTTAAGAAATTACCATATACTTGAATAAAATGAAACTTAGTTCAATTCCTTGAGCCTGTCCCGCAATATAATTAGATGGCGGTTGGTCTGAAGCTCACTTCCTTTCACTTCTTTTTCATTCCATGATAGTGATATATGTGTCCAACAACCTGTTAGTACATACGAACATGTGAATTAGGAACAGCAATAATATTTTTCCTTGAGCCTGCTCTCTCATTCCGTAAGATAGTTGATGATTTGATTATTTGCATATCCACCTACCTTTAATAATCTTTTACCTCCTTGTTTATCAAGAATCTATCTATCTTGTCTTCAAAATATTCAAGAACTCTGCTTCCATTGCCTTTGGTGAAGGCATATAAACAGGTCATCTAGTGGGCAAAAACTTGCAAATGGAATATGATGTGGGAAAATGTGAGGTAATGCACTTTGGCAGGAAGAATCAAGGAGCTGAATATTATTTAAATGGAGAAAGATTACAGAAAGTTACACAACAGAAGAGTTTGGAAGTCCTCATCCTCTGATCACAAAAAGCTAGCATCCAAATTCAGCAGGTCTTAGAAAAAGCAAATTGAATGTTGGCCTTTATTTCAAAGGGGATGGTATATTGAAGTAAGGACATTTTGCCGAACCTTGGGCCTTACCTAAGGAAGGATATGCTGGTATTGGAGGCAGCCAGAGAAGGTTCATTAGGCTGGTACCAGGTATGGAGAGGCTATTATGAGGTGAGTTGGGTAGATTGGACATGCACTCCTCACAATATAGACGAATGAGAAACAACTTGATTGAAACATACAAGATTCTTTGGGGACGCAGCAGGTTGGATGCAGAAGGTTTTTCCCCCACGTGGGGACGTCTAGGACCAGAGGTATAATCTCAGATTAAGGGGTCATTCATTTGAGACAATACAGAGGAATTTCTTCTGAGGGTGGTGAATCTGTGGAATTCTTTACCAAAGAGAGCTTTTGAGACTGGTTTATTAACCAGATCCAAAGCTGAGATAGATTTGTAATTAGTAAGGAAATCAAGGGCTGTGGGGAAAAGACAGGAAAGTGGAGCTGGGGATTATCTCGTCAGTCAAGATCTCATTGAATGGTGGAGCAGTCTCGATGGACTGAATGGCCTACTTCTGCTCCTATGTCTCATGATCTGAGAGTTTCAAAGACAGCTGTCTGAGAAAAAAGATCCCTTAATCTATTTTAATGGCAGTCTCTTTTGAAACAGTGACCCCTAATTTTAGATTCTTCCAAAAGCAAGCGACCTTTCTAAATGCACCTGTCAGGACCCTTCTCGCTCTTGTATCTTTCATTCAAGTCACCTCTTACTCCTCAAAACTCCAGCAGAATCATTCCTGGCCAAGCTTTACAAATCTTAATTGACGCAATATTCATGGCTTTAGGAGGAGTAAAAATAGCCTCACTAATTTTACGAGCATGAGCCGTATTGTTTTAATGCCTAAAATCAACGAGTATTTTTAATTATTTTTGTCCAACTTGTTCTGGTTTCTTGATTAGATCACATCTTAACCTTTTAAACTCAAGGAAATGCAAGTCATTTAAACTTTACATGTTCGTAATTCAGCCCTGACACATTTCTGTGGCAACTGTGCATCACCCTTTCCAAGGTCGAAATGTTATGATTCCTAATGTTTCATGTTAAAAACTTGAATGCAAAGCTCGAAGCAGTTCAGAGCAAAGTGGTGTGAGTAAAGCATCATTGCCTCAGTTTCATGTTCCAGCCCTCTTGAACTGAAGGTGAAAATTTCATTACCCTTCCTCATTGTTTTGTACCTGTGTATATTAGTGTTTTAGTTACCAGTGTTATGTTTTAGTGCATTGTGCCCACAGGACCAGGATGGGAGGAATACACTGGTAATCAAACACCACTACCCAGTGAGTTGGATCATTAGTACAAATGTTTTGATTCAATCAGCAAAATAGCCAATCTTTCCCCCTTTACACTGCTATCCTAGTAAAACAAAATCTGGAATTAGAACAATACTCATGCAGTGCAAAAATCAGACTGGCCTAGGCACCTTTCTTGTATCCTGTTCCACCTGCAGGATTAAGTGCAAGGACTAATATAAATTATGAATAGGCTAGCCACCACAGTATGTAATACACATTGAAATAATTCACAAACTAAACAGGATATTTCATGTGCTAACTTGCTAACTCTCAAAAAAAAAGCAGAAGTTCCTGAACTACAATGGAGATTTTCATCTCAATACATTTTTATTGTCTTTATTGGAAATTTACTATGGGTAAAATTTTTATGCGTAACTAAAATAGAAAAGAGAGAAGCACATCAGCAGTACCGCAATTCCTGTCACTCAAGAACACTAGCCTTCACAACCAAATAGAATGGAGATCTTCATATTCGTTCTCCAGCACAGATGCTGCTAGAGGAAGTGTGGTGTGGCTATGCCCTCCAAAATTCTCCGGTATTGAAGAAGATAGAAATTAGGCAAAATATGGTATTTTGGGAGCTCTCTGATTCTAGGTAGATGCAAAAACAGAGGTTGCTGGAAAAGCTCAGCAGGTCTGGCAGCATCTGAAGAAAAAAATCAGAGTTAATGTTTTGGGTCCAGTGACCCTTCTTCAGAACAAGTTTTTTCCAGTTTTTTCGCAGTTCTTTCGGTTTTTGTCTAGATAGATGCAGTGCATTGCCAAAATTTGGCCATCATTGAAATGTTGCTGTTTCCTCTGTTCCAGAAGACTCCAAGCTCAACCTGCCCTCATGCGAAAGAATTCTAGTCCAAAGTCCCCTGCCAAATGACAGCAACTCCAACACAATGACTTTCGTAGGCCTCACAGTTGCAGGTTGAATGTTCATTCTTGAAACTTTAGACACCCTGAGGTCACAGTTCATAGAACCAAATTGACTGGCCTCCTCACGCACAGTCAGTCACTGTTGTAAAGGTTTCATCTCACTGTCCACACAGAACCCTCTTTTAAACTGCATCCATTGTAAAAACATCGGACAGAGAAAGTTTGTACTTAACATAGAGCAAAAATTATATGTGGTTTGAATATCTTCAGTGCTTCTTTTGAGAGAATGGACCCATTTTTTTTAACTGAAGACAGTCTTTAAGTTTTAATGTCAATCGATTATGCTATTGCTATACAGGGTATTAATGTAATGTTTAATCCCAAGTGCAAGAAGTAGAGAAATTGAAAATTGTAATGTCAACCAATGTTATTGTTCCAGATAACCAACTGGAGACCAAAATTACTGTTTTTCATGAAGAAACAAAAGTAAAGTTTTCTGAGCTATCTGAGGAACTTCTCTGGGAGTACATACACAGTGGTGAGCCAATGTATGTGCAGATACTTTACTACACCCACACATGAAATTCACTAAAGGTGCATGATATTGTAAAGAGTTCTCCATCTTAGAACATAGTTTATTTAATTAAAAAAAAAAAACTGCCTTATACTAATTAGAAATGTTGCAGAATCTATCCTGGCTGCTGCTTCTAAGAGATGAACAGTCATTGGTATAACTCCCTGTAAATGAGAGTGCTTACTTTTCACCAGTTCCTCAGGTAGGCCATATGAAATTAGGATATATTGTGAGATAACAAGGTG